GGAACAAGAGAGAAGCAGCCGAGTACTTCACATTTGCTTTCCCAAACCATGTGTTGTGCTTAGCAAGGATGAGAAGTGCTACTTGAAAAGCCTGTTAAAAGGTAGGGTTGAGAATGTGTTTAACGCAGTGTGCTGGTAATGTTAAATATGTGAAGGGTTTGGGGATGGGTTGGGTTAAAAACTGTACACCAGAGAAACACTTGAGACAGGAGTGGAGTGATTTTGCTACCAGGAAATACAGAGACTGAGAGGGATTTGTGTCTGTGCTAGCATGTCTCCTGTAGTGACTCTGGATTGTATTTATTTATTTAAGTGCTGGGGTGACTTGTATATACAGAAGCAGTAAATAGTAGAACGAGGGTATTGGATAATGCTGGTGGAAGTGATTAGATTTTCCCCAGAGAATATCTAATCTGCTGTGTGAAATAAGAACTATTGGGAAGAATGATGACTCTAGTTAAATATTTACTTTATGACATCAACACACTGCAGTTAAGAGGTGCTTAATAAATAGGTAACTTACAAGCTGGAGTTGCTCTAATGCTTTTTAGCTGGTGGAAATCTCAACAGAAAATTTTGTAGTATGATTGTGTATGTGTTTAAAACACACTGGAGGACTAAGCTATTAGATAAGAAAAGAGCAGTATAGATTATTATCTAGGTAACATTAAGGAGAAAAGAATACCTAGTTGCTACATATTGGAAACCAGGAAGAACTGCCATTGGTTTGTAAAGGATCTTATAACTTCTTCCCGTGCACCTCTGCTCAGCCCTCATCCCCAGTTCCTACATGACTGTCTCTGTGAGGGTGGTATCAACCAGTGAAATAGCTGCTGAGAGCTGTAGCGCAAGGCACGAATGCATGTGAACTCTGGTGCATTTAAGTGGAAGTATGTGCATATGGAAACTTTTTATGTGTCATAACAACTTTGTAGAAGGAACCTCTTTTGAACAAGCAACAGGTAAATCTCCATTGCATTAACATTAAGAGAAAGGGAAATGGCTTGTGTATACTATCTGGGGAGTGGATGCAGATCGTGCTATCCCCAGGGCAAGAGGGACCCCTGGGCCCAGCCCTGCCTGCATCAGAGGAGAAGGCTCCAGGTGTGGGCTGAGAAACAGATCAGCCCCATCTGAACTCTGCTGGGCCTCACTCCTGCTCTGAAGGTGGAGGAGCAACGCAAGTAGAACTCCAGTGGAAAGGCCCTCATCTTTAACATTCACTCAAACGTTTCTGCCTGTGTGGATCTCTGCAGGGAGTTTGGAACCGTTTTCTGTCTGTGTGTGCATGGGTGCTTGTCCGTGTGTGGTGGAGGTTTTTCAAAACCATGCCACACAAAACATAAACAGTATAGGTTATTTATCATTGAAATGCAACGAGGAAAGGTTTGGTTGTTATACACTGGAAAACAGGAAAGGGTAGTCTTTGCTTTTGAAAAGACTTTTAACTTTCTCTGATGTGTCCTTCTCTGAGCCCAGCCTGCATTTCCACGGGCCCATCTCTGTGATCCTGAGGACTGGCAGTGAAACCTTCTCTGAGGGCTACTATACAGGTACCCAAATCTCTGAAAATTCTGTAACATGTTTGTATATTAGTCTCTACAGAAAACTGAGTGAGAAGCTGGTAGTGGCAGACCTTGCAACAAGTGTGCACGAGTCCTCTAGTTCCTTCTGGTGTTAATGAGGCCAACCTTTCTTGTGTTGTGCCATCAGTAGATATCCTTATTAAGACGGAACAACAAAGAAAGGCTCAGCAAGGTTTATCCCTGCCCTCACAATCAGATGTGGATCGACTCCATTATTTCCAAGATAGGAGCCACCCTTGATTCTGAACTATATCCAAATTCTTGCTGTCCTCACCCTAAGACTCAAGTTTGCTGTTTAAAGCAGCATTACAGCAGCAGGTGTAAAGACACAGCTTCAGCTATTCGTTACATAAAGAAATATTAAAATTTATGGTTATGCTATAGGCAATGACTAAGTGTGCTTAAATTCTGGTTTATTATGCAGATCATAGAAAAGATAAGTATAAGAATAAAAGTGTGCAGCAAGTCTTTAGGATAAATAGAGTATCTACTTAGCAGAATGATGAGTACCTTTTGCATGTTACTTTCCTACTTGTGAAGTAATTTTTTAGGTAAAATAGCCTTGATTAGCAAGCTATGTGATGAAGAAGCTCAGAAAGATGGAACTGTCAGTAAAGAAACTATTTTCTTCAACATTTTCAGATAAATACATGTAAAAAATATAATAGGTAATTAGAGATACTTGGAGATGAAAAATAGGAAATTAATTTACATCACTTGTTTTTAACATTGGGTGAATATAAATTCACATTTCTAAAACTGTCTCTAACTTATTTGCTCTAGTAGCTTGTATGCTTGCTTACTTTATCTTAAAACTTCACTCATTACAGTGATGTTTGGCAAAATATTCTTGGAGAAATTAAATTTGAAATTGAATTTGAATTGTCCCAGAACTATTGATACATATCTCCTTACAAGAGGAGGGTGATATCAGTCCAAGATGTCTATGCACCAGTGTTTTGTTTCTGCTTGTATTGATTACTTTGGTGCAAATTAATAGTGTATTTTAGTATAGTATCCATTATACTATTTAGTATAGTAAAGGATAATATGCTTTGGGTCGGGTCAGGTATGTGTCTCGTTCCTTGTTAGTGTCCCATTCAGATCATGCTATAGAGGGTTTTCTTTTGATTGTTTGACACAGAATCATGAAAAGTAACGCCCTTTATCTCACCTGAATAGGCAAAAAAAATCCACCATAATTTGAGTATTAAATTTCCTGTAGTTACTGTTCAGTTTCTCCTGTAGTATTTATATGTTAAAGAGCAGATAGAACTTTTGAGCATTTGAACAATGAAAAGGACACAAATGTACAGCTGAGATTGACACCTCTCATCATGGACTTTGAAACTGCGTGCATCTGATTTGTTCTTTGTAATGGTTTATTTGTTGTCCTGAATCCTATGGTATAGGTTTGTCTTTTATACAAAACTATCCAAAGTTCAGTGTTAACTAAATTTCTGGCCACTATCTTTTTTTGCTAAAGGTAATGTAACATAACTTAGATTTTTGTACATGTAACATCAAAGGGCTTTGTCTGTCACATTCAGCAATAAGCACATCAACAAACAAGTGAACCATATCAGAATCTTGGATAAACTGTTATCCTGTTCCACATAGTGTATGCTCTAGGGAAGGGCATATTTTAGACCAGGCTATATTTGGAAAATATCTAATAAAAGACATGATGTTGTTATGTCCTTGGACAAACATTGTCAATTAAATTTTTACTTGGAACCAAGATTACTACTGTAATGATGCTGCAATAGAATTTTAAGTTGATTTTAAATGTGCTTAGATTTCTGATGCACACATCACTTTGTTTTTAGTTAAGCTAACTTGGGTTTAGCTGTTACTTCATCCCCACAAGATGTGAAGTCTTTTAAGTGTTGGTCATGAGATTCTTTAGAATTAAGAGTTTGAATTTAGCTGGTAAGCTAACTTTGGCTTATCCTTGGAGATATTCAGATTCCATCTGGGCAACTGGCTGCAGGTGGTCCTGCTTGGGGGGTCAGGGGGTGGTGGACCAGATGACCAACCTCCAGAGGTCCTTTCCAGCCTCAGTCATCCTGTGATTCTGTGATACCGTCTGCTTCTTGTATAGCAAAAGCCCTGATATTTCAACCTCATCTCAGCTTTCTAAGCTCTGGGGTTAATATTTAGCACCTTAACTATTTCTGTTGCATTATCTTTTCATCTCAGCAACATATTTTTTTCCATTACAGTTGAGACCTTGGACTTAAATTAATCCCTTTTCTTGTTCACACTAGAGGGAGCTCTCAGAGTTCACAATTCTAAATGTTCCTGCTGAGAATCCGTTATCAAACTATACAGGACAAAGCTGTATAAAATGTGTCTTGAAAACGTTTCATTTTTCTAAAAAAAATCGAGCTTTTGAGTTATTTGTAGAGGAAGTAACATAACACCAGTTTGACAGCTTTGGCTGTATGTTAATTTTGCTCAGCTGCAGCAGCAATGCAGGCTTCTGATGTACATAAATGTAATAGATATTGACATTTCTGTTTTGCTTGGCATTTATTTTGGAAGCTGTGGAAATACGTTTGTAAACTTGGTATTTGTTGCTGTGGTACAGTCAGTTTCTATTTGGTATGCATTTGGTTGATCCGCAAGGAACTTGTTTGCAATTGTGGGAGGGTGGCTTGAAAAGGCGAGAAAATGATTTTAAAGTTTTCTTTAGTCATGTAATCTTAAAAATTCAGCTTATTTCTTCTGGTGAGTAGAAGCCAGCTTTAACTGGGTGGGGTGTTTATTTCAGGTTCTTTTATCCAAGCAGATGTAATGCTTGATAATAGATAAAATTTTTACTGGTTTTCATGATTACTGATTTTATAGGCAGCAGTGTTAACCTGCATTTTTTTTTCCTGCATATCGTAATTTGCTATTCTTTTTATGTTGATTATGGTTTCTAGAAAATGGTCTAGCATGTTACAGCCAGATAAAGAGCAAAGTGAATTTCATTGAGTTTGAGGAAGCAATTGGTGAGAGTTTTCAGGTTTGTAGTCCAAATGAGAGAATGCCACGTGTGTGAGGTCAAACCAGTGCAGGTCTGTTGAGGATGCAGTTATTCTTTGCTATGGTCTAAAAGCTGATTCTTAAAATATTTGTAGACTAGACAGAAGCAAAGATTTTTCTGAAAATCTTATTAAGATCAGTGATGACAAGCTGCCTAAATAGTCTCTCTGCCTAAGAAAATACGCAGAAAATTCAGGCAAGAAGTCTCTCTACAAAGAGGGGTCCAGTGAGGAGTATTGGTACAAATTCTTTTGACTCTTTCTGCTTTGTGCACCCCAAAACACCACTTTGTTTCCAACAGAATAGTTTTAGTCACTGTATCTCAGGTGTATATACAATTCTTGACGTTTACAACAAAGGCGAAGTATTTCACGGTGGATGCCAAACTCTTTAATGCTTGGTGAGCGTTCCTTCTCAGTGGCATAATCTATGTTATCTTAGGCAGGTAAGCAAGCAATTATTTGAGTTCTGCTTTAGCTCAGGAAAAAAAAGAACACGGATGAACAATTTAGATATGGAGAAACTGCTGGATAAATGATATCGTAGATCCCTTAAATCACTGAAGTGGCTCACGAAGCCCAGGTAGTAAGCTGCACGGCCGTTGTGGCACTTGTACCTGTGCAGCCGTTACTGAAGGGGAAGTTCATATGAATAAGAAGGAAATAGATGAGTTTGAATCAGAAGTCTGGGCATTGGTCTTGTATTCTAAATATTTACAAGATTCTCATGTCATTTTCGCCTGACTTAGGGGTATGCAGGCTAACAATGTGTACAGTGGCAAGGGTAATAAACATTTATTATTAATATTTCTTGGCTCGAGATGGTTTGGGATGCTTTCTACATTTTTTTTTTAATTTTTTTTTTAAATCTGGAGACTGCACAGTTGGATATGAATAGTTGATAAATGTTACACCGTTGGAAGGGGCTCCACCCTGCCGTTGTAATTATGAGGTGGGTCATAGATTTTCTTCCCTAAGGAAAAAGATTTAATCGTTGGCTTGTTTTCTCAAGTAGTTGAGATCTTGTCTGCTACTTATTTTTTATTCAGACTTCCTTTTGCTCCGCTTCTTGAAGTTCCCCTAATAGAAGAAGATAGAGTTGAAGTTTGTTTTTACTTCTCTATGCATTAATGTGAAATTGTTCTCTGGGCAAATTTGTTTTTGCAAATTATGGTTAACATATTAACAAAGACACTTGTGGACTTGCTTAACTTTTTTAAAACAAGTTACTAACCAAGCAATGAATTCTGTAAACAAGTTCAGAACTTGTTCTGCTTCTTCCTCTTGGTTGCATTTTGCAATTTTGTTGGCAGTTTTGAAAGAGAATAACTATCCAGTGGAATGCAGTAAACAAGTGGGTGTATTTATGATGCTTTTGAGATAGTCTTGCTTTTGTTCAGTATAAACTTTGCTTATTTAATTCCTATACTCTATAATTAAGATGTTGTTTGTTTCACCAAGCAAACAAGAACTTCCTATTTACTTCCTAGTAAAGAGGTCAGCTGTCACTTCTCCCATTATTTAATTACTTGTATTCCACTTTTTCTTCCTCTCTTACAATGAGGATAATCTCATTATAAGAATTAACCAGAATACTATTAACATAAATTAAGATGGGGCTTATAAACAGGAAGTAAACTTGAGGAACTTCTGCAAAGATGAATCACCATTGACCATGCAGGGCTTTTTCTGTCTTTGGTGTGTAACTTGGGGAATAATTTTTTTGTTTGGATTTTTTTGAACCTAGAAAATGAATTAAAAAATTTAAAAACTTTTAAATCAATAATATTTTCAGGTTGAAAATAATTTGTAAGCTCTAAGTGATTATTTAAGACAATCCCCTTAAAGGTCATTTTTTTTTCAAGGATTACAAAGGTAGTTTGTCCCTTTGCATTCCTAGTTTTTAATTTTTTAAAATTTTATACAGCAAGGCTCTTTTTTTTTTTTTGTAATCAAGACTGTCAAACAGTTACAGATCTTACTAAATAGAAAAATTGGTGGCTTTTACTTGGAAATTAGCAGAAGAGGATAGAGTTTGATTTTATAGTAACTGCAGTGCAATTTCAGAAATAATTGTTTTGTGATTTATTTGTTAGATTGCTCTTTAAGAAAACATTGATACAGTAACTCATGTGAAAGATGGTAGAAGTTGCAAAGTTGGTCATTTAAGTTGAAGAATGAAAAAAGATTAAAATAACCTGTATCTATATTGATATGGTTTGGGGCATGATTGCTTATTTGTACAGGGAGACAGAGGCCCCATAAAATAGCACGGACTTTTAATTGTCATTGCATGAGAAATTATATTCTCTGTTTAATGCATTTGAGGTACATGAGGAAAATTAAGTTGCAGGAGGCTCTGTTATGAATTTTCTTATTGTCTTGAACCTTTAGGCCAGAAGTGCATGAAGGACTTGATGGTTCTAAAGGATCAACAAATCTAGCTTTCCTTACAGTATAAGCTCTTGGATTCCACTGTGGTATTCTTGTATTCAGTCCAGAGTTTATGTTTGGCCAAAGCACGCCGTTTGCTAAGGCCTCTAGTCTTCATCTGAAGATACTAGGAGATGGAAAATTCACTATTGCCATTGGTAGGTTTTTTCCAATGCTTAAATGTCCAAGCTCTCTAGAAAAATGCTTATGATTGATTTCTTGAGTAAGGAATATGCTAGATAAAATTATTACACTATTTATGCAATAGAAGGCTAAATAAAAATACTATTGGCATAAGTTCACTTTGAGATGATTGACTTTGCATAAGAGCACCAAAGAATGTAAATAAAAGACTATACTGATGCAGTGGTGGACATACACCGTATGACATACATTTACAATACAAACAGATATAAAAACACTGAATCCGTAGGAAGTGAGCAACTTTGAGATAGTTTGTAAATTCCTCTAAGTACCAATAGACACATGAAAATACCTAGACACTTCAAGGTACTTTGCCTCATTATTCAAACTAGATGGATGATGCTTTTAAAAACCTACAGTTTCTTGTTAGAGCTATCGAAAACCATTTTTGATGAACGTACCTATATGTATGAAAGCGTAGACACTTAGGTACATGTCACAAGCTGCAAGAACATGGGTACAAAAATAATATAGTCAGAGTAGGAGGAGATTAAGATTAGGCAATATGCTATTTAACTAATACTACAAAAATTATTCTAGAAAAACTATTTTCAGATACTTTTTTCTATAGACAGCTTTATTACATTAGGTTTGTATAATCCATTTTTTCAATATTTTTATAACATCAGAAAATGAAACAAAAAAACCAAAACGTGTGCCTCCAAATTGCTTTAAAAATGTCTGTTTAGGATTAATTTAGAGAATTCTTTCAACCAAAAAGTATGTGTATATATTTATCACTTTAATAAAGATATATTCAATTAATTTAGAAAACCAGAGTAGAAAATTAATTTTCCTCCCACAGTCTTAATGAAGAAATAAAGAAACTAATTTCCCATTGCTGTTAGAGGGGTAATCCACTCCTTCACATATTAAGAAATTAATGTAACACATCCAGTCAGCCAAAGAGTGTCTGATTCTTCCCCTCCCCCCAATCTCTTACACTAGCTTATTTTGCATAGTACAATTATGAAAAACAAAACTGAAAAAGACTTAAGTCTTTATGTCTTTCAGATGTCAGTGTGTGCTAAGTTTAGGTCTGATGGTGTTCCCAGTAAAACCATCCATTGTATTTGGCACTACTTGCTAGTTTTGGTTTTCTTTTAACAAAAAAAAGAAAAATAAATTGTATATTTAAAAAAAAGAACCCCACAACCTTTTTAAAAAATGCCAGAAAAATGTTAAGGAAGAATTGTGACTGACTTTATGTACCTTTGTAGAATTTGTGGGTTTTTATGTGGTCAAAAAGTCGTCCTTTTTATTTGAGCTAAATACAGAAGAAAGATATTTTCTTACTTTTATTTTAAAATGGGTTTGAATCTGATACCATTTTGTTATGCTAGGAAATACTGAGGGGAGTTTTATAACTGAAAAAACAGGTCAGCAAGTTATTTTGAGATATTAGAAATAGGTATTTGATATGCTCAGAATTACAGTGCTAGAAATTATTTTCTTGTGTTAAGACAGACTTTATTTTACATACATAAACAGCTTGATTTTTTTTTTTAATTATTTTTTGTTTTTAAAACAGCACTCCCTGCGTGAATGAGGCACTAACTGACAGTACACTGTGTGAGTACAGTTCATGTCCTTAATGTAAGGAAAAAAACCCTGTAAGATTGTGTTAATGTTGTGTAATGGGCCAACCATTATCAATGCAGCATTGGCATTACCACTGAAGTTTCAGACAGGAGTTTCTTCTTTAATGTGCTGTTAGTCCCAATATGCCTTGTCACTTAAAAATACACAGATAATCTACAGTATGTTCTTTTGACACAGAGCACAAATACCCAAATTATTTCATATTATTTTACTATTTACTTGTACTATCTTTGTGCAAATACTCTTGCATAGTAATCATATTAATAGACATAAAAGGTACCAACTGTATTTTCTGTAAGAATTTGTGGTTCCGTGCTCTACTTTTTAAATAATTTAAATTAAATTGAAAACGCAAAATTAATGTGTTCACTTTAGTTACTATGTTCAAATTAGAGATATAGTGTTAAGTTTGTACATAAGGAACTTAAAAAAAACAACCTCAACAAACAAAAAACCTCCCAAAACACCAAATAACCAACCAAAAAACCCACACAACGCAAACCAATGTAACTGCAAATATTATTTTCTACAAATATGATTGGATGGATTTCAAAATTGCTAAATAAATGTCATATTACTACTTTATGAAATATCTCAAGTTAACAGTAATATTGTCTGTTCTAAGTACAGATTAACTGAATTTGACTTAAGTCTAGCAGTAGCACCTGCTGAGAGAGAAAAGGCATTTTCTGAAGCATAGCATTTGATTGGCATGTTTCATTATCAAATCTACATTGTATTTAAAAAATGTGCACATGATCTAAATCGGTATTTATAATAAAGTTTGGTGCAGATTTGAGATGACATCTGAAGATATTAGTTATATAGAGGCTCCATTAGAAGTATTTTAACAATAATTTGACTTTCCTTCAAAAAGGGATTTTTTTAAAAGTATGAATGTATCTGATTAATGGTGTAAGAATTCCTAGTGGAAACCATTAGAGCAGTGATAAAGGTTTGCTTAGCATGTTAATCTACTTAAACTATCAAATGTATTTCAAAGGTTGGAGTGCTGTGCTGAATCACAAACCAGCATGATTTCCAGCAGCCGCTATATATACTAATCCGGTGTTCATTTGTAGCACTGTCTATAAATACCAGCATGAAGGTGAGTGAGCCCTTTGCACTGTTCATTTTTTTTTAGCTTCCAGCTGTGGCCTCGACAGGAATAAATCTCATGTTACTGGTGACAGTCCAAATTATGTCCCTGTCTGGTAGATCTAGATGACATATTTCAAAACTTATGCAAAAGAATGCTTTCTGAATTGTACTTTGGAAAATATTACATTTCCAGGTATCATTGTTTCAAATAAGTATTTTAGGTTTTGCCAAGTCAGTCACAGGATTTCAGGGGGGAAAAAAACCCAGCTCGTTCCACACTGACTGTTTTATCTTTCCATAAAATGTGATTTCTGTGTAAAATTAAATATACATAACTCTTTGCTATTAAGTTTATTGAAAGACACTTGTGCTATACAATTTACAGAAGTGATACTTTCGTGGAAGTTCATGCTGTCGTTGAAGACAGTACTCCAGGTGAAATGCAAACGAGTCAAAAAGATTTTTTTTTCAACATTTATATTTGTATTTTAGCATAGAGAGGAAAATAAGTGAAAAGGGTTCCTATATTACCTTTTTCTTTTAAGATAGGACATATATTTCTGCAAGTCACTTAGATCATTCTATTCCCCTTGTCCGGGAAATGAAATAGTTACTGGAAACCTATTTATTTCTCATGTTTGTTATCTGTTTTCTTTTTGCCTCTTCCAAGTTTGATCAAGTAAAAGTAATGGACCCACACAGCCGGTTATTAGATGACTTAGGCTTGCGTTCCATGTTAGATGTAAATCCTCAACAAGTAAGTTCCTGCGTACATTTTCATTATAGGGCTCATATTCACATTATAGTGTTACGCTTTGCCTGAGTTGTAAGACTTTGTATCCCCTTTCTTCCTCTTGTATCTAGGTGTTCTTCCATGCAGCAGTTCACCTGTAGTACAAACCTGCAGCAAAATACTCGTCCGCTTCACAACTACGTAGCGGGATGGAGGAGACGAGGTAAAAAACCAGATATGCCTATGGAGAAAAAAAAAAAAAAAAATTAAAAAAAATCATCTTTGGGTCCCATTCACTTGGCAAATGAATTTACGCGTGGTGTCAGTAGAGGGCAGAGGGAAGGACCTGGGGTGTGTTCAGGGGTCTCCCTGCCGTGGTGCGGTAGTTGGGCGCTGAGCGCGCCGCCTTCCCTCGGGGGGAGCTGGGTGTGAGGGCCGCAGCGCTCCGCGCCGGGAAGGGGACGAGGGCTGGCAGTACTGCTCGCTTCCAGGGAGGTTTGTATTTCTGACCGAAAAGGGTGTCCGGCTCTGTAGTGCTGCCAGAGTCAAATGAACGGTGCTAGCGAGGGGCGCTCCGCCCGGGCGGCCCCGCTGAGGGGAGCGGCCCTGCCCCCGGGGAAGGCGCCGCCGGCCTTGGCGGGAAGGGCCGGGCAGGGCCCCGCAGCAGCCCCGGCCGCTGCCCGGGGAAGGGGTAAGCCGGGGGGCTCCTGCTGCCTGGTGGGGGGCTCTTCCTGCTAGAGAATAACCTGGCGCTGCCCCGGTAGAACTGGGGGGGAAAACAAGATTTAAAAAAACCCCAAACAGCTTTCCAGCCGGGCCTGGGAGGCCCCAGCGCTGTTAATAATCTTGGGCCTGTCCCAGAGACAGTGTTGTCTTTCCTCATTTTTATTATGTAGGGTTTAGTCTCTTGCTTTTCATATGGATTTGTTTGTTCAATGCCCCATCCAAAGTCTGGAAATACTTATTTAAGCTTCTAGCCAGGCTGCTTGCCTCTCAGCATAAGAACAGTTTCACCATACTACAGGTTTGTGAGGAAAATACATTAATACCTGGTGCATCTTTTCTGTCAGGGACACCTTTTCCAAGTCTGTTCTGAATCCAAATGGACAAAAAAATACAAGACAGTTTTTCCTCTTTCTCTCCTTACACTTGCACATGTTCCCTCACTTAGTTTATTTGATGTTTATTGCATTGCTTGTGTCTGACTTAGAGTGTGTTTCAGCTCACAGGTAACTACAGAGCAGTGTTCCTGGTTTGAAAATGGGGTGTCTTTTCTGGTTTAGTTTTCTCTGACGCCCCAGTGCCAGTTGCAAGTCACCGTAGTCATGATGATAACTTTTAGCTGAAAAAAAACAACTGTGCGTGTAGCCAACAGTAGAGTGCTTCAAGCTGCAAAATTTATCCTCAGTAGTAAAGTTTAAATCTTGACTTTCACTTAGGAATTTGAACAAATATGTAAAATATCCATATTTACTGAGTATTTCTAGTAAGGTCTCAGTCACATTGCCTCTCGTGTTCTTGGTGAAGGCTAACATGAGAAAGTTCTAAAAATACCATCTGCAGTATATTTATGTCTCATCTTAAGTGTTGCTGTTTTGGTTTCCTGTGCCTTTTGCATTCAAGTTTTTATCATTGTGCCATGTAATTGTGGTCTTCTAACGCATCTTTTCAGAAATGTCATGCATTCTGTCTTCTGTCCTGCAAAAAATCCTGTACTTGTTGATTGTGTATTAGACTGGGTACCCAAAGAGAGGGAAGAACATCTGCCTGGTTTCTGCACTCTCTGTTGTCCTGGAGTTTAGGGGATGCTGTGGCATGGGGAGGAGACAGAAAACTGTGTCCTGGTAGAAGGCTGCTCCTTGCCTTCTGCCATTCCCGACCTCCTGTGGGAGCTGTTCCAAACCTGGTGCTGCAGAGACGTCCTTACACTAACGTTTACCAGGATGCACATATATAGAATCAGGAAATTGTTCTAATTATGAAACAGGATTTTTTTTTTGTTTTCACTGATAATATTATCTATGGTGCTCAGGCTGAAAAGAAACTATTTTCTTATCGTATTATGCTCCACTGAGATAATAATTACTTTCCTTTTGAACCTTTATCATAGGGATCCCAAAATATTTAATAGAAATGTTAGTATAAATTATTTTGAGGAATGGTTGAAGAATAAGAGGTAGTACTTCTTTTTAGAAACATTTAAAAGAGGAGAGAAGGCAAAAAACCCACAAACCAGCCTTTAGGCAAATCTTTCTGAATATAAAATAGATATTTCCAAAATGTTGGAAAGAAGTTAAATATCAGTAGTGCCTGAACTTGCTGACACAGGAGATTGTGTTTGCTTTTCCTGCTGCCATGTCCCTAATCTTTTGGATTAGATTTAGCCAAGAGAGCAATTTATTCCCCTTAATGAGACTGTCATGTAAGAGACACTCCACAGCTCAACATGGTTCTGAATGATGCTTCCATAGCAGACAGCCTTCTTTCACTGATAAAACTGAATTTCACAGATCTTTACATTTCTAACATGCAAGTGATTTTTTTTTCACCAGTACATTCCTCAGTGTAAATCTGTTTAATGTTAATATATTTTTTTTTTTACCGAACCCTTACTTTATGGTACTGAGTCTAATCATTTCCTTATTTTACACTTGATATAGTGATTTCACAACTATAACTACAAAAAAGTAGCAACTACCACATTGGAATGCTACCTTAACACGTCAGCAATTTTTGCAGCTAGTGACATGTTGCAAATGAGTACTAAAACCTGAAGTTGCTGATTCCTTTGTGCTGCCAGAGTACTTCTACTGGACGAGTAAGTTAGTTGGAGCTCTCACAGCTTCTGATACCTTAATCCTTGCACAACTGTATTTTTAGGAAACGATTTAACTTTTATTTCATGGCTTTAGCTGTAATTGCGGTGCATTAAGTAGGAGGACAGCGTAGTTCATAGGGTTGTCGACTAGGTGGCAGTATGGTGTTTAAAACGAAGGTAGACTGCTTTTCGACTCGAAAAGACCTCTAGATTTTTCTGTGCCTGTAAGATTTGAGTAAACCTGGGTACTCTTCATCCCTTGAACAGTTAAATGTTTCTATACTAATAGGTGAAAATTTGAAACGACTAAATCTTGAAAAATACTAGGATTGGAAGTTTAGGGAGAGGAATTTAAGCTCACATACAAACATGTTGTAAGTAGGTACACATTTTTATAGTCTTAGAGTGCAACTGTTTTACATTTTCCTCTTAATTTGAGCTGAAATGAATTAAGATTTTTTTTTTTTCTGCTAATTTCTTAATATTTTTTACTGGTGGGTGAAAAAAATCTTCTGTTATTATCTATGGTTTTACCATAATATTGTCCTATAAAAGATACAATATACTATGTAATTATTTTTTATTACAGAAGGTAAGGGTTCTGAAAATGTATTTCTGTGTTTGTTAGACCTACTAACCAACTTATATGATATGGAAGTTTTAATCGCCTGTTTTTGGAAAGCGCCTGGGCTGGTTAACTTGTGAAAGATATGTTTTCATCAACAGAATTCAAATTACTGAAGAGAAACTCTTGTAATGAGTGAAAGTGCAGATCCCAAGCAATATAATACTTGGACAGGCAGTTCCAATCTCTTAAATTTCATCCAAAAGTCAACAGGCAGCTAATTCAGATGTTGGAGTAACTGACAAAACATGCTTAAAAACTCCACTCTTCTGGTTATGTTCACTATAGCTCTGTATTTGATGGAAGTAATCATTACTGGATTATAATCTAAAAAGTGGAATTAGAGCACTGTGTTAATTGCTTGAAACAGCTATTATCTTCTCAAAATCAAGTATTGGACATGAAATAAAAAACTCACAGAGGGAACTTTCCCATAAGCTTTCTGGGTCATCAATTTGGTCTTCTCAGGAATGTGGTGTTCAGCTTTCCTTCATTTTTTTTGTTGTCATACTATGAGTATACATATAGCATGCCTAACCATGGTATTTTTGATTGTCTTGGATTTATTGTCTCAGATTACTGGTATCTAATTATAGTTTTCTCAGGAAGGATTCTAAGGCATGTTGTTAAGGACAATTGTTGTGCTCTATTATGGAGGTAATGTTGATCTCCCTGCTCAAAGGATGTGATACTTTTCTGGGTTTTGACAAAGGCAACTTTAGAACAAGGGTACATCTCCCAGAATGAAAATCTTTGCATTTATCTTGCAGTTAAATCCTGTTGAATTTAGTCCAGAAGTTTCTAATACCATAGATAAGAACAACTTGATGTGAGTAGGACTATTTTGTCTTTGGAAAATAAGGAATAATAGCAAGTTCACAAATCTGTTCCTTGGATAAAATGTGCTGAACTGTGGGATATCTACTATAGGGGATAAATCTGTTATTCTAAGTCTTCAGCTGTTAGAACAGCAAAGAACACACTTTATATACTATATGCACAATCTGTTTCAGAATTTGTCATGAGCCCTCTAGACATTTCTGTCCCATTTTGTTAAGGTAAACTAATAAAAGTGTAAACTCTAACTCTAGGAAAGAGCATGGAAAAGGGTAGATAGAGTAGATACAGCGGAGTATTATTAATCTATGAGTAAAGGGATAGAGAATATTCTGCAGAAAAGCCTTGAAGTAGACTGGTTCCACCAGTCTTCAAGGTGTATTGTCAAAACATAAACTGCATGCTGATGGTGATGTGGTACTTGACTCTCATACTACAAAAAGCAACACATTAGTTGCTTTTTAATTTTCCAAGTTAGCGCTCTGGGGTAATTTAAAAATCCTGTAGTTGCAAGGTCAAGGAGAAGAATGACTTTAATTTAATAGAAGAGGATTACAACTGGATTTTTGTCTGTTATTGATGAAATAGTGAGGTAGAAGGACCCCTTGCCTGACCTGGGGCAGCTGTTCTTACATTAAGTGTATGGTCACCAAACTTACATTTATGTAATATATATGTAATATATAAATAAAGGACAGTTCTATGGAATTTTAGTATAAATCAATTTAGAACTAAAATTAGTATAAAGTGGTCCTTTAATTTTCATTGACATACTACCCGATTTACTGTAAAATTCCAGTAAATCATAGTCTTCTGTATTCAAAACCCACAAGTCTGTCCCACCATCCTCTGAATTTTTTTTATTTAAGATTATATGACTACAAAAATACAAATCTTATATTTTTATTGTCGTCTTGTTTTGAGAGATTTTAAAGAGTCCAGG